AGAGATAGAGAAAGAGAGGGAGGAGGGAGGGGGAGGGGAGGGAGGAAAAGAGAGGGATGGAGGGAGAGAGAGTGAGTGAGTCAGAGATCCTGGATGAGAGCGCTCTCACACCAGGAGTTATGTCCCTTAATCGGTCAACAAATAGGTTTTGCTTTCACCTTATATTGTACTTTTACTTCACTTCTGAATTCTGCTTCCTTGTGTGTCATAAGAGTCCATGAAGAGTCCTGTGATTGACCTAATTTTACTTTCTCATGGGACACCTTTTTGGTCATTTTGGGATCAGTCACTTACTCACCACATTGTTCCTGAACACATATGATGTGCACTGCCTTACGCTACTTGCTAAGTGAAGCAGAAATCAACAGCATATCTCCATGGGCCTACATCTCTAACTGGTCACCATCAATGCTTTCATATCTTACCTCACTTTTTCTTTTTTTATAACAATATCTCTATATTCCAAGTTGCTCTTAGATGTGCTATCTTAAGAAAGTTCTCTGTACTTTCTTGAAGTTACTTGCAGTATTTATAATCCATGCACAATCCAGCCTTCTTGCTAATATGAATGGAATCAGGGGCCCTGTAAGAACCTCACCTTGCACATCCTCTAACCCCACTCTTCCTTCCCTAATAAATATACTTACACACACTGATAAATCCAAATGCAATAATAATTACAAGTTTAATGTGACACAGACAAAAACTCGGAATGTTCAAGCCTTAAAATTAGAAATGGGAATTTTTCACTCTGTATACCATGCATGAACAGAAATACACTCAATCCCTTGATTTCACTGAATGGAATGAATTTCCAGTGTATCCACACAGGAAGTTATTAAAGATATTGTAAATTTATTTACCACAAGTACAAATAAGAGGACCTAAAATTCCCTTTGAATTAAGAAAATAAGTATGTCATATCCTTAGACTCCAGGGAGAACATAAATGAGAGAGAAAATATTCTTCAGAATGACCAAGATGATGAACATTGCCCCTACCCTGTCCTCTTAAGCACCAGTCTCTGACAATGAGTTCACCAAAGAAAAGTGCATCCAAAAGTATAAGCAGCTCAAAACTAAACCAAACATATAGTTGTAAAAGTCTGCTTCTGTTCAAACTTATTTTTTCATATACCTATCAAAACTGGTGCCCTTTGTGACAGTGAAATGTGACTGTGGTTAAACTCTCAGATTATTGTGCAGTTACATAAATGTCACCAATGGCTTATCCACAAAATCAAACAGCTGTTTCACCTCCAGGCAAAGGCCTAGAGTGGATGGAATTCCTGTTCCTATTTCTTTCTCCTGATTTAAAAGTACTGATGGCAGAGAACTGTATGATGACCCCTGCTATAGACTGAACTATGTTCCACCAAATCCATACACGAAAGCCCAAACCAGGCAGGGCAGCACATGACTGTAATCCTACCTGCTCAGGGGACTGAAGAGGAAGGATTCCAATTTTGAGCTCAGCCTGGGCAACTTAGCAAGACTCGGTATCAAAAAGAAAAAAGAAAAGAAAAGAAAAGAAAAACATACATGGAATCCCTAACCCCGAATGCAATGGCAGTTGAGGTGGGGCTTTTGGAAAGTAATTAGGATTAGCTGGGGTCATATGGTGATGCCCTGGTCTGATAGGATTAGTGCCCTTACAAAAAGAAACACTACTGGAGAGATTGTTCTCTCTCCAGCTCCTCCTGCATGTCATACATCAAGGGACAGTCTCACAAGAACACAGTAAGATGGCAGCCATCTCAAGCCAAAAGACCCCTCACCAGTCCCCAACCATGTTGGCTCCTTGATCTTGGACTTCAACTTCCAGAACGGTGAAAAAATA